GAGGCAGAGAGGAGGAAAGGAAAGGAAAGAAGAGGAGAGGAACACCCTTCCTCTATACTAACTAAAAAGAAGAAGCAACTTCTCTATTCCTATAGGCTCCAGCCTGACCACAAAGACTTGAATCTGTGAGCTTGTGCTGACCATGGGCAGAGATGTGAGCCAACCTAGTCATAGGATGTTTGCCCACCATGAGACTTTCCAGGGGATGTGAGTCAACTCTGTGTTTTTCCCTGTTGTCCTAGATTATTTAAATCCCTCCTCTGAATCAAGCCACGTGTAAGTCCATCCACCATCTTCATGTTAGACTAATCACAGTATTAATTCAGTTGGCATCACTGAACTACATTTTGCACTTTATGAAACCAACTGTATAAAAGAGTTGCTCTGCCTGTCAGAGGGGTCCCTGGTTACTAAGGAGTCTTGGATTCCATTTATTGGCAATTGCTAGCCTTGCTAACAAACTGATCATGCTCCAAATTTTGTGTCTCAGTTTCTCTTTATCACAGATTTCATTCATGACATGATGTAGAGTGAAGTGAGCAAAGTTAGGGGAACAATTTATATGGTAAAAATAATAACATAAAGAAAAAAAACAACTTTGAAAGACTTAAGAACTCAGATCAATGCAATGACCAATCACAATTCCTAAGGACTGATGATGAAGCATGGTACCCACCTCTCAAAAGAGGAGGGATGGGTTCCGGATGCATATTTTTGAACATGGCAAAAGTGTGGATTTATTTTGCTTAATTATTATTATTTATTCTAAGAATTATGTTTTCCTTTTTTTGCTGGGAGTGGGGATTTGGGGAAGAGAGGAGAGCTAAAAACAGTGTTGACAAAGAAGGAAAAGAAAAGAAAAAGGATCATTGGGGTATTTTTTAAAAGACAGAAGGGAGTTCAGAAGTGAACACAATTTTTAAAAGTGTGAAGGAAGATGGCCTAGCAGTTCCAGATTTCAAACCACATTACAAAGCACTAATCATCTGGTACTGGCTAAGAAACAGAGTGGTGGATCAGTGGAATAAATCAGGTATACAATGGACAGTAAAAAGTGACCATTATTATCTAATGTTTGTTTAACCCAAAGATGCAAGATTTGGAGGTAAGAACTCACTGTTTGACAAAAATTGCTAAGAAAACTGGAAAGCAGTTTGGCAGAAACTAGGCATAGACCAACATCTCCCACTGTATAGTAAGGTCAAAATAGATAAATGATTTAAACATAAAGGGTAATATCATGAGTAAATTAGGAAAACATGGAAAAGTGTACCTGTCAAATTGATGGAAAAGGGAAGAGTTTATGACCAAAAAAGAGAGAGAGAATGAGAGAGAGAGGAGTATAGGAATTAAAATAGATGATTTTGATCACACAAAATTTTAAAAAGGTTTGCACAAACAAAAGTAATGCAGCCAAAGTTAGAAGGAAAACAGGAAACTAGGGGGAAATTTTTCATAGTAAATTTCTCTAATAAAAGCTTCCTTTCTCAAATATATAGGGAACTGAGCCAAATTTATAAAAATAAGAGACATTCCTAAGTTGATAACAGTCAAATGATATGAACGGGAAGTTTTCAAAAGAAAAAAATCAAAGCTATCAATAACCACATGAACAAAAATGCTCTAAAACACTCCTGATTAAAGAAATGCAGATAAAAACAACTCTGAGATACTATCTCACACCTATCAGATTGGATAGTATAACACAAAAGGAAAATGACAAATGTAGGATGGGATGTGGAAAAATTAGGACACTAATTACTGTTGGCACAGTTGTGAACTAGTCAAACCATCCTGGAAAACAGTTTGGGACTATGCCCAAAGGGCAATAAAACTATGACCCTGAAATACCACTACTAGGTCTGTATCCCAAAGAGATCAAAGAAAAGGATAAAGGACCTACTGATACTGAAATATTTATAGCAGCTCTTTTGTGTCAGCAAAAAATTAGAAATCAAGGGGATGTCCATCAATTGGGGAATTGCTAGACAAATTGTGGTATATGGTTGTGATAGAATACTATTGTGCTACAAGAAATGATGACCAGGGTTATTTCAGAAAAACCTGGGAAAGTTTATATGAACAGATACAAAGTGAAGTGAGCAGAACCAGGAGAACATTATGCACAGTAACAGCAATATCATAAGGATGATCAACTGTGAAAGACTTAACTATTCTGATAAAGACAATGATCCAAGACAATTCCAAAGGACCCATGATGAAAGAACTTTGAATGTAGAGTGAAGCATACTTTTCTACTTTATTTTATTGTTTTAGTTTGTGTTCTCTTCTGTGACATGGCCAATATGGAAATGTTTTGAATGACTTCACTCGTATAATCAGTATCAAATTGTTTGCCTTCTCAGAGAGGGGGGAGGGGCCAAAGGGAGGGAGAGAATGTGGAACTCAAAATTTTTTTAAAGATCATCATTAAAAATATTTTCACATGTAATTGGGGAATATCTAATGAAATAAAAATATTTTAAAAGACCACATAGGTTTAAAATTGGGTTTTACCGAGACTTGAAATTCTGACAGGGAGTTTAGGGTATTGAGCTACCCTGGACAAGGCTGGTTTGTACAAGGATGAACTGAGCTAAGGTTGAGTTAGGTTTGACTGGTCTTGGGTCAGAATGAGGCAGCTTGGTCTGGTAAGGGCCACTAGAAAATAGTCATAGATCTAAGATGTGGAAACTTGACACTTTGAATCAGTAAAGCCAAAAAGGACCTTGGGGACATCTAGTCCAACATCAAGTCCATATCTGACTAGACATGCCTTCCACAACATCCCTAATAAGTGGGCATCCAGCCTTTGCTTGAGGACCACCTCCTAAACCAGCCTATTCTACTTTAGGACAGCTCTCATTGTTAGGAAGCTTTCTGGACATAGAGCTTAAATAAATCCACTTCTTTGAAGCTTAAATAAATCCACTTCTTTGAAGCTTCTACCTTGTTCCTGGTTCCACCCTCTGGAGCCAAGCAGGACTAGTATAACAACACTTCCAAGCAAAAGCCCTTTGAATACTAGAAAATGGAGCCCATGTTCCCCACCCCCAAGTCTTTTCTTCTGAAACTTGTTAAGCTGCTTTTCAGTCCCATCCAACTCTCCGTGACCCCATTTGGGGTCTTCTTGACAGAGATGTTGGTGTGATTTTCCATTTCCTTCTCCAGCTCATTTTACAGATAGGGAATCTGAAGCAAACAGGATTAAGTGACTAGTCTAGGGTCATATAGCCAGTAAATATCCAAGGCCAGATTTGAACTCACAAAGATGAATCTTCCTGAGTTCAGGCCCACCTCTGTCCACTGTGCCACCTAGATGCTCCTCTTCTGAAACTAACCACCCCAGTCTCCTTCAGTCACCACATGGCACTGTCTCTAGGCCCCTCTCCACTCTAATTGTCTTCCACTGGATGCACCACAGTTTCTCTTTCTTTTTCCTATAATGTGGCATCTAGACCTGGATATAACATCCCAGATGTGGTCTAATCAGGGCAGAGATCAGTGATTCCATCATCTCCCTGAAGGACTCATAATCATTTTTGTGTCATGGACCCCTTTGGTTGTCTGCTGAAGTCTGCTGACTCCTTCCTCCTCAGAAGAGAGTTTTTAAATGAATAAAACTCAATGTTACAAAGGCAATCAAGGTTTAGTGAAAATAAAAATGTAATAGTTTTCTCATCCAAGTTCACAAGCTCCCTAAAATCTACCCATGGTCACCTTGGATAGATTAAGAGCCCTTAAGAACATTATGCATCTATTAATGCAGAGTAATATTACGTTAGCTTTGAGGATCAAATGAGATATTTGTCAAACACAGCACTGTGTCTGGCACATAGGAGGTGCTTAATAAATGCCTGTTCGTTCTCTCTCTTCTTTTTTTTTTTTTTGACTGCTGAGTCATGCTGTTGACCTGGATTAATCTTCACATAAACACTTTATGTCTTCTCAGCACAAAACGTCATGTAGCCACATCTCCTCCATCCTGTACTTATGGCTGTTCATGTTTTTGAAAACTCAAATTAATAGTTTATCCAGAGTTACCTACCCATATAACAAGCTTATAGGGTGGTACCTGGGACTTTGAATCACATATCCTTGGTATATTCATATCTAGCAACCCAAAGTAGGTTTCCCTTCCAGGGGGCAGTCATATCATAGGATGGTGCCAAGGAGGAAGACAAACATGCCAGGGAGTGTGCCTGCATCCTCTGTTCAGAAAAAAGGAGGTGCAACCTGGCAACTGCTTATGGAGATACTGCAGTCACAGGTCCTAAAGAGCCAAAAAAGCAAGTTCTCACTACCAAACTTGGCACAGTCCAATGTCTTTGGCACAGTCCAATGTCCTTGGTACAGTCCAATGTCTGTATAATAGGAGGAGAGGAAGAATAGAGATAGCCCACCATGCATGAGTGACCAACAGGAGATGCTATAGACAATGGCCTGACCATGTTGTTCAGTCGTTTTCAGTTGTGCCCAAGTCTTCATGACTCCATTTGGGTTTTTCTTGGGAATGATACTGGAGTGGCTTGTCATTACCTTCTCCAGTTCATTTTACAGATGAGGAAACTGAGGCAAATGGGGTTAAAGTGACTTACCTACGGTCACATAGCTAATGTCGGAGTCCAGATTTGATCTCGGGTCTCCCTGACTCCAGGCTCAGCACTCCATTCACTGTTCCATCTAGCTGTCCCAGCCTGATCACACTCAGTAGTAAAAACTAGGTGCTCTCAACCCAGTATACATTCTTCCCAGTTAAGACATGCCACTTGACATCAGAGGGGCCTCTCGGCAGCGGCAGAGCACTCTTGGACTCTCAGAGAGCTGGCTGCCTTTCTTCCCTTAGCTCTGCCCTTTTTGTGGGTTGTAAGGCTAAAGGTCTGGCATGTGGATTTGTCCATTCAGATCCCACAGCAAGCAGAAAAACCCCTCCCTTCATCCCAGCCCAGTTCCAGTTCAATTGAGGTCATTTACAAAGGCATAATTGCATATAATTCTTTAATCATGAGAAATGAAATTTTTAAAAAATCAATGTACCTTGCTTGTGGAATCATGAAGAGAAGAGGATATAGGAAAGAGATATTCATTTAGTCTAATACTCATATTTTACAGATGAGGAAACTGAGGATCAGAGAAGGAAAGTCATTTGTCCAAGGTCACATATGCAGCAGGTCCCTCTCACTCCAAATCTTTCCATTCTACCACCCAAGCAGTGTCTGTCTGATCAAGGCAGGCCTGCTTTGGGCTACAGTGAAGACTGGGCAGAAAAGAGACAGAGCTCCCCCATCAAACTCAGATCCCACCTTGGCCTGAGGCCATGCAGGGACTAGCCCACCCACCCCCAGACAGTGGCAGACACAACTCTGCTCAAGATATTAAAACCTAAATATTTATTAGTATGTATTTACAGAGAAGAGGGTAAGTGGGAGCCAGCAGCAGAATCTAGGGGAGGGGAAGGACAGGACAGATAGACAGACCAGGAAGGTAGACAGACCTGACTGGCGCTGGAGAGGACACAGACACCATTGGAAGGGACAGGATTTATGTTGCATACTTTAACTACAGCGATTGTAAGACTGGGTCTACTTACAGGGCAGAAACACTAGAGGCGGGGTTTGGGGGGACAGGGCCCAGAGGTCACAAGAGTCCTTGCCTCCTCAGAGAGGTTTCCCACCTCCTCCCTCCACCTCCCTGGAAGGCATCCATCCACCTCAGCCGCCAACCCCCACCCCCCACCGGCCCGTTCTCAGGTAGGGGAGCAGGGCCAAGAAGAGACAGAGGGAAGACTGGAGGGCAGCTCAGATGATGCTGGTGGGAGCAAAGACGGGGCCCACACACAGAGTGTCTGCAATCTCCCAGCCGCAGGACAGGGGTTTACACATGTCGTCTGCGTCCTCTTCTGAAGGCAAAAGCTTGCCTCGCACGGCTTCCCTGTGGGTGAGAGAGGCTCAGTAATCACAACAATAACCAGCATTTAGAGATCTCTTTAAGGCTTACAGAACACTTTCAGCATTGAACATATTCAGTTCAGTTATTTTTCAGTCATGTCTGACTATTCATGACCCCATTTGGGGTTTTCTTAGCAAAAATACTGGGGTAGTTTGTCGTTTCCTTCTCCAGCTCATTTTACAGATGAGGAAACTGAGGCAAACAGGGTTAAGTGACTTGCCCATACAGCTGGTAAGTGTCAGAGGCCGGATTTGAACTCATGAGTTGCTGCCTCAGCCAAACTGAGACCTGGGAAAGCCCTTAGCTTAAAAAGGCCAAGGCCTCCCACTGCATCCAGGGTCGTCTCCAGTCATCCCAATCTGTATGTCATCACTGGACCCAGATGGCTCCAAAGGAGAAACTGAAGCTGGTGAACTTTGCACAGCCCTCCCTCACTTAAATCCACTTAAATCCCTCACTTCAATGCCATGGCATCACCTCCCCGATGCCAGGGTCCTCTTCAAGAACACAGGATGAACAACAACAGAACAGAACACTTTAGAAATATTATCACCGTTGGATCCCCATGACAGCTCTGTGAGGTAAGTACTCTTATTGTCTGGATTTTACAGATGAGGAAACCGAGTCTGAGAAAGGTCAAGTAACTTGCCCTGAGGCAAGATTTGAACTCTAGCTCTAGTTCCAGTACTCTCTCCACTGTGACACCTACATGTCCCTAAGTCATTAAGAACAGGAAGGGACTGTAGATATCATCTGAGCATCACAGATTCAGAGCTGGAAGGGCTCATAAGAGTCCATCTATTCTAATCCTCTTATTCCAGCAGTGAAGCAACTGAGTCCCAGAGGGGAAATGACTTGCCCAAGGTCACACAAATAGTAGGTAAGCAGAGCCCCGATTCAAAGCCAGTTCCTCTGACTCCAAATCCAGCCCTCTTTCCACTCTACCACATCCCATGGGTTGTGCCCAGAGTATGCCCACAGTGCCTGACACATAGTAAGCACTTAATAAGTGCTCGTTGACTGACTGCTGTTCTCTACCTTGGTGTGGTCAGTAGCAAGCTGGGACTTTTTACCCAGAGTCCCACACCCAGTCAGTCAGTGACATGTATTAAGCTCTAATGGTAGGCACTGTGCTAAGTGCTAGAGATATAAAGAAAAGTAAAAGACAGGCCTTGCTCTCAATTACCTTCTACTGTGCTGGCTCTGCTGTCTGCGTGACCTTGGGTGAGTCACTTCCTCCCTCCTCTGAGCCCCAGTGTCCTCAGGTCTACACTATGGGGGTTGGGATAGATGGATTCTAAGGACACTTTCAGCTCCGGGATCTGGAATCCTATGATCCTAAGCATAGTATGTTCATAGATAAGTAATCTGAGAAGCAAAAGAGCATTACAAATGGGGAGGGAGCTGGGAGGGGGCTTTATGGAGAGAGTTCTCATCTGAGCTAAGCCTTAGAACAGTGAGGTCAAACTTGAATAGAAAGAGGGGCCACTAAACTATCCATAAAGATCTTTTGGGGCATATACACTACATATTAACATTATCTCTGTTCTGTTGCATATTTATTTATTTTGTTAACTAATTCTCAATTACATTTTAATCTGGTTCAGCCCACTGTTTGACACCTCTGCCTTAAAGACTCTAACAGGCAGTGATGAGGTGGGAGCATATTCTAGAAATGGAAGAGAGAGCTGGCAAGAAGGCACAGAGCAGAAAATGGAATATTTACTTCAGGGAACAGATAGGTAATCCAAGAGGATGGGAAGATAGAATGAGTTGCTTGCCATTTTCTTCTCTAGCTCATTTTACAGAAGAGGAAACTGAGGCAAACAGGCTTAAGTGATTTGCCCAGGGTCACACACCTAGTAAATGTCTAAAGCTGAATTTGAACTTAGGTCTTCCTGACTCCTCACCCTGCACTCTATCCGCTGTGAAGATGAGTCTTTCTGACCCCAGGCCTGGCACTTTATCCACTTTACCACCTGGCTGGCCCAATAGGGTGAGGCACAGCATCCCAACAGAGGGAAATGAGACTCTGTCCTGGTCAGACCACATTTGGGGTGGTCTCTGGGAATAGTGTTTTAGGAAGGCTTTGACAAATGGGAGAAGCACGGGATCTGAGAATGCTTCTCCTGGAGAAGAGAAAGCTTTGCAGGGAACAAATATTTGGAGGGCCGTTATAGGAAGAAATGGCTAACTCCCTTCAGAGGGACAGCATGCCCACAGAGCTATCCAAATGCTGAATGGCCTCCTGCTCGCTGGAGGTCTTCAGTCCTTTGTCAAGGATATTACAGAGGGGCTTCCTGGTATGGTTTGGACTAGATGCTCTCTAAAGTCGCTCTGGATGCTGAGATTCTATTATTCTGCCCAGAGGCACTTATCCAGGGACAACATACTGAATTAGTTATTGATAGAACCATTTGTGCACCAGCTGCCTCTCCACCCCAGGCCCAAGCCCCTTACCAGGTGACTCTAGACATGGCGTAAGTAGTCTGGCAGGTTTGGCGCCCATTGCAGGAGGCTGTCGTGCCCACGGTGTAGGCTCCCATGTTCTCAAAGATGAGCCAATCGCCCGGCTGCAGCTCTGGCAGCCAGAGGCCCTCAGCCACACGGTCCAAGTCATCACAGGTTGGGCCCCAGAGACTGCTGCTGTATACACGCTGATCTGGAGATGGTTTCTACAGACACGGAGGGAAAAAAGGCAATGGTCACTAGAGAGACCCAGCAGACCCTCCCACAGGACAAGGGTCAAACAATGGACCTGGCTGATGACAGAGACAACCAAGTCATCTCCAACTGAAGCCTGGAGAACTTAGAGACAGGAGAGTGAAATGGAAAGACCTCTGTACTGGGAGTCAGGATCATACACCTAAGGCTAGGAGGGACTTCAAAGGGCCACTTGTTTTACAGATGAAGAAAATGGAAAAGGGGGAAAGCAGTTATCAAATGTTCACTATGTATAAGCACTATACTAAGATCTAAAAGGGCAGCCAGGTGGTGCAGTGGATAGAACACCAAGCCTGGGGTCGGGAAGACTCATCTTTGTGGGTTCAAATCTGCCCTCAAGACCTTTACTAGCTGTTTGACCCTGGGCAAGTCACCACTTAACCCTGTCTGCCTCAGTTTCTCATCTGGAAAATGAGCTGGAGAAGGAAATGGCAAACCACCCCAGTATTTTTTGTGAAAAAACCCAAATGGGGTCATAAAGAGTCGACACAATTGAACAACATAAGGGGGGCTAAAAATATTAACAGAAAACCAAGCAAGACAGTCTGGCTGACCTCAATGAGCTTACATTCTAATTGAGGGAGATACAAATAGGGGAGATCAGCTACAGAAAAGATGGAAAGGCTCAGGGGTCCTTAGGACACATTACTGGGAAAGGGGGATCTTGGTGGGATGGAGGTAGGAAGAGTAAGGCTGGGACAACTAGAGGACAACCACATCAATCTAGTGGGCTCCACCCTCCTCTGGACAAACAGGACTCAGGCTGGGGCTAAGGTTTGGCAATGTGCCCAAGATCACACAATTTTTTATAAGTGGCAGAGGCAAGATTGACGGAGCTAGAAAGGCTGCTTCCTAGTAATGGCCTCTCATTCCAAACTTGATGTTTTTTTCACCATACCATCCTAGGCACACCAGCTTCCCAACCCCCCCCCCCACACACACACAGAGGCTTAGATATCAGCTCTTACACTCACTAACATCACCCTGGACAATCATTTCTCCAGGTCTCCTGCTCCCTTTGTGTAAAAGAGATGGCTGCTGCAGCTTCCAAACCCTTTTCCCATAGGAGCCTGCTTATATAACAGAATCACAGAATTGGAGAGTCAGAAGGGACCTTGCTGACCCTGTAACCCCAACCCAGACCCAAAAAAAGAATCCTCATTATAGCACACCCAACAAATGGTCATTCAGCCTTTGCTTAAAGAGCTCTGTTAGGGGCAGTTAGGTGGCACAGTACATGGAGCTCTTGCCTTGGAGTCAGGAGGAACTGAGTTCAAATCTGGCCTCAGACACTTGAAACTTACTAGCTGTGTGACCCTGGGCAAGTCACTTAACCTTGATTGCCTCACGGAAAAAAAAAGAGCTCTGGTAAGGAGGAACCCACTGTCTTCTTCAGGCATCCCATTTCACTGACAGATAACTCTGACTTTTAGGAATTGTTTCCTTGTCAGCAAGCCTAAATTCATTACCTGTTGCTCCAGGTTCCAATCTCTGGGGCAAGAATTGGGGTGCAGGGGAAAAAGCAAGTACTCATTAAGCACCTACTATGTGCTGGGCATTATGTTTAAGCACTTCACAAATATTTCATTTGATTTCCACAACCCTGGGAGGTAGGTGCTATTATTATCCTCATTCTACAATTGAAGAAACTGAGGCAGCCAAAGGTTACATGAGTAGCTCAAGATCATACAACTAGTAAGTGTCTGAATCCAGATTTGAATTCAGGGCTTCCTGAATCCAGGCCCAACATTCTATCCACTGCACCACCTAGATGCCTAGAACAAGTCTAATCCATCTTCCAGATGGCAGGCCTTCATATATCTGAAGATGATTCATGCTCCACCCCCAAAAGCCTCCAGGCTAACCATCCCCAGTTCTATCATGATTTTCATATGGCATGATCTGAAGGTTCCATGCCAACCTGGTGGCCCTCCTCTGGATGCTGTCCAGTTTATTAGTGTCCTCCACCTTCCACTCTCTCCTTGAATACATCATGGACACTCCCATCTCACCTCAGAATTCCCCCTGACAGGGGTGCCATACTCACCATCAACCTGATCCAGATCCTACTCACTAATATATCTGAGCTCTCAGGTACACCCTTAGAGTAAAAGGTGAAGACACAGATTAAGCACCATTATCCAGTGCTGAGGATACGAAAAGAAGCAAAAGGTAGTCCCTGCCCTCAAGGAGCTTACAGTCTAACAAGGGAGACAGCATGCAAACAAATATACACAGAGAAGGTATATATGGAAAAATAGGAAATAATTAAGAGGGAAAGCACTGGAATTAAGAAATGTTCATTGTATGAGTTCACCTGCAAGGACAGTTTAGCAATAGTGGACCAGACTACTTTGATAGCAGACCAGACTCCCTGGCATTCACTTGCACCCTTCAAGGATAACCAGTTTTGTTGAGGCAAGAATAGAACAGTGATTAGCAAGAAAACTGAACTTCTAAACTTAACTCAGAGTCAATGAGTGATTACAGGAAAGCTGAATTTCCAAACTTAACTCTGAGGCAAATGAAACGTGACTTAGGCAGTTACAAAAATGTTGGCAGCAACACAGAATGAAATCAATAACAAAATGGAATCAACTTGATTTTCCCAATTTTGACTAGGTATGCATCAGTGTGGGGGAAGGGTCCGTTGTTCCTGTACAAACACTCAAGGTAACAAGTATATACTGGGCATAGGATAGCCTTCATTCCACCCCACAGAAACTACAAAGACAATATCATGAATCACAGTAGAACAAGGATAGTAATATAATTCCCCTTCCCTCTTTAAGGAGTCTCACTTTTTTCCTAGAGTTCATGCTATCCTCCAGGTTCATAATGCTACCCTATCATTTGTGTTCTTTTTGGATGGGAAACTTGGGGCAACTAGGAGAGAAACCTCCAACATTCCAGTCAGAATAGTGTATTCATCTGTGCAAGGATGACCAGGTTTAGTATATCTGAGCCACTTCTAGAAACTGGGGTGGAAATACCTAAGCTAGGTGTACCTAGGACCCCACACACACTGAGGGCCAGGGACCATATGTACACGTGTGGGACTTCAGTCCTGGGGGCTACCTGGAGTTCAACCAGTCTGAAGGATTAGCCAGGATCTGTACCTCTGTGCAGGGGTCTTAGAGAGCATCCTTAAGATGGAGAAATCCTTCCTGGCCTAGGTTCCAAGCTGGGAAGTCTGACCTGGGCCCCTGCACAAGTCCAGACAGCAGCCTTTCTATATCTCCTCATCCTGTTCAATTTCTTGTCTATCCCTTTGGAAATCCTTCCCAGGTGTCCCCCCACCAAAGAGGTGAGGGCTTTTCTACAGATCTCAACCTTGCCTGGACATCAGGGCAGTAATACAGGCTTTTCACCAATCTTTAACTTCAATCAACATGACTACACCATCTTCCTTTTCCAATCTCCATCCTTCTGTATCATTTTTAATGAGTTGTATTATTTTTAAATCACAGTCATTTGAGCGTATCCTGTCCCACTGCTTCTCCTACACTGAACCTTCTCCTTGTAATAAAGAAAAACAGTTAAGCAAAAACAATTGATAATACTGTTCTCATCTCACAATAAATGCAACAGCTTTTCTCCACAAGCTAGCTTCTTTCTATCTCTCCAATCTTACACTTAACTCCTTTTCACACACTCTTGTCCAGTGATATTGAATTACTTTGCTGTTCCTTCCTCCCCCACCCTGACTACTGACCTCCCTAGCTTCCTTTAAAATCTCACCTTCCACAGGTAGCCTTCCCTAAGCCCTCTCAATTCCAGCATTTTCTTTCTTAATTATTTCCTGCTTTTTCTGCATGTAGCTTGCTTTATATATATTTGTTTGCATGCTGTCTCCCTCATTAGATTGTAAGCTCCTTGAGGGCAGGGACTGTCTTTTGCCTCTTTTTGTATCCTCAAACACTTAGCACAGCATCTGGCATACAGTAGGTGCATAATAAATATTTATTTAATTGAATTTTCCATCTCCATGTCTTAGTACAGGTTATCCTCCATGCCTGAAACATTCTCCCTTTTAATTTCCATCTCTTAGGATCCTAGGCTTCCTTTTAAGTCTCAGCTCAAGGGCCACTGCCCTACAAGAGGCTTTTACCAGTTCTTCATCAGCTAGAACATTCCCCACAAAAGTTATTGTGGTCAGAGGAATATATACCAGAGTCGTTCATCTCCCATGCAGGCTGGGCTAGTTCTTTTCCTTAAAAGGTATTGAAAGCATCCTCTAGACTTAATTGACTCAGGAGACTGAGGGCTTGAGACATTGATATCAATGCCAGAGTGCCAAAAGCCATCAGGAGAGAGTGGAGAGGCTCCATAGGATTTTTTCCTCTAAATGATTTCTTTCATCCCAGAATCAATTAAGATTTGTGTTTGTCTATCTGTTCTGGACTGTGGCCCTAGAGAACACTCCCTCAAGCTTTTGCCTCACTCCTGAGTCTTATTCTACTGACATTTCACTTTTCCTCTTCTCCCACCAGACCAGGCAACTGTGGTCCCTATACTAAAATGATTGGCCCTGATACGGTCTTAACCTTGGGAGACTAAGATGTCTGGTTCATATCCCCTTGTCCGGTTTTATAGCTCCCTTGCCTTCATAAAGGTCACTCCCATTCCCTTACTATCCCGGACCCATTGGCACTGCCCAAGTTAATGATCAGGGGCTCCACACTGGAAGCGCAGGTCTTGGTAGAACTCTTAAGGGAGCACACCTTCAGAAGCCTTAACACTGGGCCTCATCACAGTGTGGTGATGACCGTGTTGTCTTGAAGGGTATGCCAGCAGAAGATAAATTCTTAAGGCTCAAGGTACATACAGGCTGTGTCTGTAACCCTAGGGCCAGCCTAGTTAGGCTTAGAAAACTCATCAAAAATGGGCTGGCCACTGGATGAATTCATTGGCCACAGCAACCCATGGAACCAAGAAAAATACAAAATAT